GTAAATTTGTGGTGGGGCATGGTGGAGCATGCCTGTAATCCCAACAATTTGGGAAACTGAGGCAGAAGGATCAAAAGTTCAAGGCCAGCCTTAGCAACTTATCGAGGGCCTAGGCAACTCAGTGAGACTCTGTTTCAAAATTAAAAATAAAAATGACCGAGAATATAGCTCAATGGTAAATGCTCCTGGATTAAATTCTCAGTAGTCCCTACCCTCAGGGGGGAAAACACACACACACACACACACACACACACACACACACACTAAGTTTCTACTATTTTAAGCCACTTTGTACCTTTTTTTATATTCCATTACAGCAAACTTAGGAAATTAATGCAAAGTATATTGAGTGATATAGTTTAAAGTGAACAGAAATTGGATATAAACGGTGACGGTGAGATATGTTAGTCAGCTTTTTGTCGCTGTGACCAAAATACCTGACAAGAACAACACAGAAAAGGAGACATTTATTTAGGCACACAGTTTTAGAGATTCAGTCCATTGTCAGCTGACTCCACTGCTCTGGGCCAGGGTGGGTGGAGCCAAACTGCATAGTGGAAGGGCATGGTAGAGGAGCATTGCTCCCCTCATGGGAACCAGGAAGCCAAGAGGGAGGGGAAGGGGCTGCAGGGTACATGAACCCTTCCAGGGCATGCCCCCACCACACTGGACCTGCCTACAGTTACCAGCCTATAATTACCTGCCCCGAGTAAGTTCATTAAAACTAGGATGGCTTGATTAAGTTGCAGCTCTTACAACCCAATCATTTTGCCTCTGAATATTCCTGCATTAACAGGAGCTTTTGAGGATACACCTTACATCCAAACCATAATCTGTGCTGCTCATAAAAAGTCATGAATCTAAAAGACATTAATGAGGTAAAAGAAACAAGAGTGCTAGGTGTGGTRGCAGTCACCTGTAAACCCAGCTACTAGGGAGGCTGAGGCAAGTAKAACACCTGAGCTCAAGAATTCAAGGCAAGCCTGGATAATGTCATGAGACCCCCCCCCATCTCCAAAAGGAAGAAGAGGGAATGGAAGAAAGAAAGGAAGGAAGGGAGAGAGGGAGGGAGGAAGGAAAGAAGGAACGAAGGGGGCTTAGTGATGGACTGAATATGCCAAAGAAGAAGGAGGAGTCCAAGATAGAAGCAGCTTTTTTTTTTTATCGTAATCAACCTTAAGTGGTGTCTAAACTACTTTGGTGTCTTTGTTACATTTCTCCCAAGGCCAGGGATCTTATAAATATCCCCTTACTACTTCCCCTGGATAGTGTTAACAAATCAAGCTGTGCTTCTGACCTTTTATTCAAACCTTTCTTTGGGCTGGAATTCCATTTTTCATTATGTTGGTTTATAATATCTTTACAATATCCTGTTCTTTATATCCAGTCCCTTTAAGAGACTTTAGTTGACCTGCCCACTTTTTTCCCATTTTAGTTTTGTCCTGAATGTTATCTATGAAATTATTCTTAGCTATGAATTCTGTCACCTTTAGATCAATTCTGTCTCTTCACTATATACAGCACAACCCCCACCCTGTTACAGCTCAGATTTAATACTACAAGCTCTCACTTATCTAGAGAGCTAAAATAGACACTTAAGCCAGGAACCAATCTGTAAAACACAGAAAAAGAAAACATGTGAAGAATGATACTGAGTTCACTTTTGGACATTGTACAGAATAGGTACTTTTTCCCCCCACAAAGGCAAGACATTGACCCCACTTTCCTCAAGACTACAACTACTTCATACATCTAATCAAAGCAGATGGTCTAGTACATGTTCCTATCCAAATGACCAGATATTTTAACATGTGTATTCAGCTTTCTATCACTATAACAGATAACTGAAATAATCAATTTATAAAGAGGAAAGGTTAACTCCAGAGAATAGTTTTAGAGATTTCAGTCCATGAGTGGTTGGCCCTATAGTTTTAAGCCTGTGGCAGCACATCATGGCAGAAGCATATGGTAGAGTCAAGCCACTTACTGCATAGCTGGGAAGTGAAAGAGAGAGAGGAAGGAGACTGGATCCCACAATCCCCTTTGAAGACACACTCCCCAATGATCTAAATACTTCCACCCACTAGATCCCACTTCTTAAAGGTCTACCACCTCTGAATAGTGCCAAGCTGCTGACCAAGCCTTTAACACAACCTTTGGGGAACATTTAAGGTCCAACTTATAGCCGGTATAAACACCTTTTCCAAACTGAACTAACAAAACTGTCTCTATAGAGGAACAGAAATTAAACTCTGTATGTGTCTAAATATCTAACACAAAATTAATGCAGCAGCTATAGTCTTCCCTATAGACTATGCAGCAGAGAAAAAATTAAGCAGATGTTAGAAGGAAGTAAAGATGAGAGAGATGGAGAGATATGGGTTCTGTAGTGTAGTTTTCTTTTTCTTTCTTTCTTTCTTTCTTTCTTTCTCTCTTTCTTTTTTTTTTTTTTTGTCCCAATACCTTTCTGATGCCAGCAACTTTTCTGCTTGTGAATTCTATAAAAACATGTCTACATCCTTAGGACAAGTGCATTCATCTTTTTATATTACCCTCACTGGAGTTTGTTTCAAAGAAGCCTGAACAACACAGATGTATTGAGTATAAAATGTGAACTTCTAAGAGGAAAGTAGTTGGAAATACAAGTCTAAACTTAAAGCAGAAGTTGTAGGAGAGTGTATTGTTTGGGTAAGGGAGTAACTGAAATCACTGGAGTAGATGAAGTTCTTCATAAAGGAGCAAAGAGATGAAGTAAAAAGGGGGAAGAGATGAAGGATGAAGATCAAAGAATCCTAAATATTTAAGATATGGATCATAGAAAGAGGAGTCAGTGAAGAAGTTTAAAAAGAACAAAAAAACAGGAAAAATGATTTTGTGGAAACCAAGAAATATAAGTGTTTAGGTTGTACTACAGAAAACTGAGCCACTATTAGTTGCAACGGGTGTTAATTTATTTGTCTCAATGGGCTGTACAGAACTGGTATAACACATAAGCAAAGTCATCAGGGACCCTGATTCCTTCTCCTACCATCTTCATGGTTGTTACACCTTCCAGGGAGTAAGAAAGAAGAAAAAGTGAAGGGTGCCATGCCCTTACAAAAAGAAGAACTTTACAAGACACACACACACACACACACACACACACACACACACACACACCTCAATGGTCAGAACTCCGTCACTTGGTTATCCATAACTGAAGGAATGGTAGGAGATCAAGGAGAATGATAGCTAAAGATAGATGATAGTGGTGTGGGAAGTGAGGATAGTGAAGGTGGGGAGTTGGATTTAATAATTACGAAGTTCCTAGCAACCTTATCTAAAGCAATTGTTTCATGGGTATATTAGACATAGAAAGTATATTAGGGTTATACTAGACTTACTGAAGACAAATTAGTAGGTGAGAAATGAAAATAGATGGTTCTTTCTGATGTGTGAAAAGGAGAATTAATGGAGAAAGCAAAAATCTGAAGGAAAAGCATAATGAAGAGGTGTTTTGCTTGGTTTTAAGATTGTGGATAATTGTATTACGTTTATAGGCTGAGAGATAGGAACAAATGGAGAGCCAGAGAGTTGGGGTATAAAAGGCATAAAATAAAGGTCAATTGTTAGGGGAAAGCCCAAAAAGATAAATGACAAGGCATTCTTAAAAGTAACACCTCTTACTCCAAATCAAGAAAGGAAGTAAGGACAAATAACAGTAGTGGTAGCAGTTAGATGTATCTAAGAAAAAAAAAGTGGAATTGTTGAAAATTTTGTTTCAGTAAGCATGAACTTTAAAACCATTTTTTTAGGTTTATTTATTTTTTTATTAGCACTTTATGGTTATACATAGTAGTTGGTCATCCCAACAAACTCATACATGCGTGATAATCGATTTCAGTTCATGATCTCCCTTCCTCCTCTTCTACTAGACTCCCTTTCACCTATTAATTTGCATTTGATTGTTTCTTCATTTAATCTTATCCTTCCCTCCCCTTCTTCTTTATCTTACTCTAGCTTCCGCATATGAGAGAAAACATAGGATCTTTGGGTTTGGCTAATTCCACTTAGCATATTCTCCATTTCCATCCATTTACCAGCAACACCATAATTTCATTTTTTAAAAAAAGTCGTTTAACTTAGATTTAACTTTTTAAGAATACGTTTTGGATTCACTACTATTTAATTTGAGGAAAGGCATAAGAAGGTAGTAAATTCTCTCTAGAATTTAGTTTTGCTTTATTTTCTTAAATGGTTGACCAAACAATCCGAGACTAACTGTAGACTCCCCGCTCCCCCCACCACCCCCATTATAGAGAAGAGCTGGAACTTTTATGAGCATCTAAACATTTCACTTTTTTTTCTCCCTTCCTTCTCCAAGGTCGCGGGCCCCAAAGGACCTGGAGGAAATACGCGATATTTTTTTCAAAAGACAGTGAAGAGACCACGGTGGCAAACAGCAATGGGTAGTCCTTATTAGAAGCATTCAGAAGTGGTTCCGCAAATTTATTTTGATCGTGTTTTCAACTCCTTTGCCTTAGAACACTTAGGAGGTGGCACTCAACAAGACAAGACAATAGAAAGACGCCAAGCGGGACCTTCAGAAGGGCGGAATGTAACAAATCGATTAAAGAAAAAGCAGGAGAACAGAATAAAGCTATGGCCTCCTGCTCTTCGAAAATCAGAGCCCTAATCTGACAAGCCCGCCGGGACGCCCGTAAGATAATCACTCTCACTTTTCATTGGCTGACCCTCTCGGAGTTGAGACCTTGGTTTATTCTCATTGGCTGTTGCTGCCGTCACGTCCTTTCGCCACTCCCACTTTTGCGTCAGCGCCCAGTGAGCTTTGGAGTAAAGTGATTTACAGCGGTCAGGGGCGGGAACTGGCGTGCCGCAAGCCCCCGCCCCGCCCCCCAGCCTGAGGCCCCGCCCCCGCCCCGCCGGGCCCCGCCTCTCCCTCCCAAGAGGGCGGGGACCAGGCGGCGGCCACAGCCGCAGGAATATGCTGGAAGCCGGCAGGCTGGCGCCCGGGAGGTGCTGAAGGGACAGTTCCCGCCGCCGAACTTGCCCGGCCGAGCGCGGGTGGGGCGGCCCGGAGCCGGTGGGGCACGTGAGCCATGGAGACCATCTGGATTTACCAGTTCCGCCTCATCGTGATCGGGGACTCCACCGTGGGCAAGTCGTGCCTCTTGCACCGCTTCACCCAGGGCCGCTTCCCCGGGCTGCGCTCCCCTGCCTGCGACCCCACGGTCGGCGTGGACTTCTTCTCCCGCCTGCTGGAGATCGAGCCGGGCAAAAGGATAAAGCTGCAGCTCTGGGACACGGCGGGACAGGAGCGGTTCAGGTAGGGCCGCCTGCGCCGAGACCACGGGGACCCAGAGGGCSGGCAGCCACCCCGCCTGCCCGCAACGGCCCCTCCCCAAGCGCCGGCCCCGCCAGCCCTGGTCCGGAGAGGCTTTGGCCCTTCCCTCCTGAAAGTGCAAACACTCCATTCTTGCTTCCCCTTTGCCCCTCCTCTTCCAGGGACGACTTCCTCCTCCGCAATTTCTCACTTYTTTCTTTGGCGCCCACTTCCTGCGCCCCCTTTCTATTTCTCCTTTCCCGCCTGAACCGGGGTCACCCTCGCGTTCCCTTCTTCCCCAACTCTTTCTGCCCCTGATGGCATTTTGATCCCCTTGGGCTCCGCCACTGTTTTCTCCCCTGCCCAGCTTCCAGTCTGAGCACTCTCCGATCCGATCACCTTCCTCCAAGTGCCCCTTTTGGTGCCCTAACCGAGAGGCGCCCTGTCGACGCGGCCGGGGAGAACTGTGAAGTAGTGTTCCCTGATTCGTGATTGATCCTTAAGCTTGACAGCAAGCAGAGTCCCAACCCAGGCTACTGCATGAGCTCACTGGGCATGGTTCACAGGGAGATGGATGCGGTAATGGTTTGAACACCTCACAGCACCGAATGTGGTCATCAGAAAATACTGGGCCATGACCCGTGGGAATGGTTTATAGGACAACTACATGCAACATCAGGGACATTGGCACTGCTGAAGTTGTGTGAGTGTGTGAGGTGGGGGTGGGGGGGTGTTTAAAGGTTCGAATTGTCTTTAGAAGTTTGCCACCATTGGTTCGTTGCTGGGGTGTGGGGATATATCTATCTACTTACAGAGAGGCGGGGGCGGGGGGGGGGGAATTTGCCAGGAGCTTCTTTATTTCACTTATGATCGCTTCTTAATGTTCCAGGGTGATAATAGAACAGAAAATAGATTTCTAAATAGAGAAAGAGGGACCCAAATAGTCTCATTCTAAAGGTTCACTGGGAGTCTAAAGGATTTCACAAAGGCAGCTCGTGTAACTAAATAGTAAACGAAACTCTGCGCATTTCTTGGATATTTGAGATTGATCCAAATTTAAAGCACATTTTCAAGTCCTATGATTCAAGGACACTTTATTTTAAAGGAAGGTAAGAAAGCAGATATCTTATAGTGTTTTGGTTCTTAATGATCACATTATCATTTGAAACTCATTTAAGCAAGCATTTTGTGTTCCTCAGCAAATACTCTGTTCGTGAAATACAGTGTTCCTTGAGGGGACTTCCCAAACATGGCTTTCCCTCACCCCCAGCCAGCATCCATCCGAATGAGATCAGCCTACATCTTGAGAATGTCCAATATTCAGAATTTTGGCTTTCATTCCCAGCTGTGACACTGATTCATAGAGATAATAAGGGAACTGCTTAGCTTGCTTATACATTAGTTTTCTTATGTATGAAATGGAAAGTTGGTAAGGCCTATCTTATGACAGGTGTGAAAACTTATTGATTTGATTTATACAATACTTGAGATTCCATGAAGAAATTCTGTTTCTTTTTCAAGAAGTCTTCTTTAATTAAAATACTTTTCAAACTTGTCATTCATCTGCGAAAGGCAGGTGTCATTATGATCTSGAAGATTTCTTCCCAGTTTTAACTCTCAGGTTGGTTGTAAATTTTTCACTTGTGATCTCAATCAGAGATGAACTTTGAAATGTTTCAGGTGTAGAAAAAAAAAACTTTTATTAAGTAACTCTTTCTCTATCCTCTAAACAGTACAATAAAAACATAACATTTTTGCCTTCAACTTCAAGTAACTTCTAGGAGTTACAACTACAAGAAACATAGGTAATAAAATCTTACTGTGTCTAATTGTTTGCTTATAAGTAAGTGGCTCCTCAACTTTTTGACAAGAAAGTAAAGGATAAKTAATTTGTTTGACTTTAAAGACCTTTTTGCTAAATAGATGATTGGGTTTTAATGCTTTTGAGAAGAATGCAAATAGTAATTCATTTTATATACATTATTAAAAGCACACAGTAACTCTTTCATTGTAATGCAAGGACATTTAGGGAATGTTTACTGACAATGAGTCATACTTTATTTTGTTTGGCTCTTTACCAAAGATATATTCACAAATACATATTTCAGTAGCTATGTCCAAATGCTTAGCTTTTCTATCATGTAGCATAATGTTTTACTATAAAATTGCATTTAAAGTGATTACTATTAAATCATCTTGTATCTTTATCCAGAAAAATATACTTACTTTGAATAATAGATATTCTTGCACATTTTATTTCATAGAAAATGATACTTGAAGATACATTACTGTGATTTCTCATAATCACACCATTAGAAATTTGTGGTAAACACTGTATTTGGGGGACTAGGCTATAACTCAGTGGTAGAATGTTTGACTCCTATGTGTGAGGCACTGGATTCGATCCTCAGTACCACATTAAAATAAATAAAGATATTGTATGTCCATGTACAACTAAAAAAAAATAGTAAAAAAACTGTATTTGGAGGTTTATTGGTGGTTAGACATAAACTTACAAAAGGATCCTACTTTAGAAGCTTATGGAGTAGCTTAACATAAAAATATGGAATATTACTCAGCAATAAAAGATAATAAAATCATGGCATTTACAGGTAAATGGATGGAGTTAGAGAAGGTAATGCTAAGTGAAGTTAGCCAATCTCAAGGATGCTGATTCATAGTGGGAGAGAGAGAGGGAGCATGGAAGGAATAGAYGAACTCTAGATAGGGCAGAGGGGTTGGAGGGAAAGGGAAGGGGCATGCAGTAATTAATGATGGTGGAATGTGATGATCATTATTATCCAAAGTACAGGTATGAAGACACAAATTGGTGTGAATATACTATGTATACAACCAAAGATATGAAAAATTATGCTCTATATATGTAATAAGAATTGTAATGCATTCTGCTGTCATATATAAATAAAAATAAACAAATAAAAAATATGGCTCAGAACAATAGAACAGCTGATAATTATGATCATGATTCGCTTTTGTTTTCAGTCTTTAGATTAACGTATTCTAGTAARTGATAACTACCTATATGACATAAAAAGGAACAAACTCAAAGTGAAAAAAGTTTTCAAACAAGTGTATATGTGACCATATTCTAAACTATAATATAAACTTAGATATTAATTTTCTGTTATTAACACTTCTTTAATGAAGGAAAATGTTAAATTTCCGTATTAGGGAAACTCAGAATTACCATGCCTTCAAGAAAAATAGAAGTTTATTTTTCTCTCATATAATACCTAGGCCCCATCTCTTATGTAATAATAATATAATCATCATAATCTCAAGGTAAGTGGTTCAAGTTTGTGTAGTAATTCTGCTCTAGGTATCATTCAGGTACCTTATCTTTTAGTTTTCTGCCATCCCTAGGACATTTTCATCATCTGCATGCACAAAAATTGGATTGCAGGCACACCATGTAGGCTCAGAGCAAAGGGAAAGAGATCTAAACCAAGTGATGTTCCTTTTGAAAAAATTAGACCATTTAGACCGTTACTTCCTTAAAGAGAACTTTAGTTACAAGGCCACACAGACTAGGCCACCATGTGCCCAGGAGGTAGGGAAGATGTTTGGCATTGTTGTTGGGAACACTATCAATCACTACTTTTAATAGTTTTTTTTTTTTCTTTTTCTTCTCTTTCTCACCTCCAATACTGGGAATTGAACCCTGAGTGCTCKACCACTTTTTAAAAATATTTTTTAAAATTTTGAGGCAAGGTCTTACTGAGTTGTCCAGGCTGACCTTATTCTTAAAATTTTCTTGTCTTAGCCTTGGAGTTGCTAGGATTATAGGCATGTATCACTACATCTAGCATCACTTTTTAAAAATTTTAATCACAGGAGAAGTGTCACAGTAAAGAAAATAAGAATAATGTTTAATACAGTGCTAATAAGGGTAAGTATAGTAGTAGCCTGGAAATATGGAAAGCATTAAATATAAGAATATAAATTTTGAACTTTTTCCATAAAAAACATTTAAAGTAATAAAAATATAAAGTTTTATGATTTGGATGTGGTTTGTTTCCCAAAGATTCATGTATGGAAGCTTGGTTCCCTACATGGCAGTATTAGGAAATAGTGGGACCTTTAAGAAGTGGGCCCTAGTATAAGGTAATTTTGAGGTTATTATGGGTATCACCTTTGAAAAGAATTAAGTAATTCTTATGGGACCCCAGTTAGTTCCACAAGAGTGAACTATTATTAAAGTGTTAGTCTGGTTCCTCTCTGCTCTCTGGCTTCCTATCTTGACATATGATCTCTCCCTTTTACAYGTTTCCACCATGATACCATCCCCTATGACATGATGTAGTCAAGGAGAGCCTCACCATTCCCAGAGCCATGTTGTTGGGACTTTTTGCCTCCAAAAGTAAACTAAATAAACCTCTTTTCTTTATAAAACCTCTGATATTTTATTATAGTAACAGAAAATGAACTAATACATAAAGTGGAATAAGGAAGTAGCAATGTTGATGATAGGAATATGAAATCTCCAGGATTCAAGACAGATTTGGCCTTTTTTCCACATTGTCTGTGGTCTTGGGGTGTTGTAGTTATAGCCATTGAATATAAAGTTCAGAGAATAATGTCCTCCTCCTGCAGTGCTTGCAGGGTATTTTCTGCAGATCAYATCCATTGTGATTCTTTTTGAAAGATGAGTTCTGTGATCATATAAGTTTGGACATTTCTGTATTCCATATAACATTTCCTTTAAAATTCATATCTAAGCTCTAAGAATTGCAGCAAAGAAACCTGCTTAACTTTGATTAAACTCCATTTCCCAAATTTATTTGAGGGGCTATTTTCAAAATATGAAAATCTATGGATGACAGTGTTCTAAGGACTGTCATTTGGGGAAAGTTCCCTCTGATGATGAATTGCTTTAGTCACTTGGGGAGGGTGGGAGGGCAGAATTATTACATATTTAAAGTTTGGAGTAATGGAAGATACGTAAACATTAGTTAGACAGCTAATTAACTTGGCAAAGTGGT